TTGAGGGAGAGGATGTTATCCTGGCACCACACGGCCAGGTCTCTGACCTCCTCCCTATAGGCTGTCTCATCGTTGTCGATGATCAGGCCTACCACTGTTGTGTCGTCGGCAAACTTAATGATGGTGTTGGAGTCGTGCCTGGCCATGCAGTCATGGGTGAACAGGGAGTACAGGAGGGGACTGAGCACGCACCACTGAGGGGCCCTCGTGTTGACGATCAGAGTGGCAGATGTGTCGTTAACTACCCTTACCACCTGGGGCGGCCCGTCAGGAAGTACAGGAATCCAATTGCAGAGGGAGGTGTTTAGTCCCAGGGTCCTTAGCATAGTGATGAGCTTTGAGGGCACTATGGTGTTGAACGCTGAGCTGTAGTCAATGAATAGCATTCTCACGTAGGTGTTCCTCTTGTCCAGGTGGGAAAGGGCAGTGTGGAGTGCAACAGAGATGGCATCATCTGTGGATCTGTTGGGGTGGTATGCAAATTGGAGTGGGTCTAGGGTTTCTGGGATAATGGTGTTGATGTGAGCCATGACCAGCCTTTCAAAGCACTTCATGGCTACAGACGTGAGTGCTATGGGTCGGAAGTCATTTAGGCAGGTTATCTTAGTGTTCTTAGGCACAGGGACTATGGTGGTCTGCTTGAAACGTGTTGGTATTACAGACTCAGTCAGGGACATGTTGAAAATGTCAGTGAAGACACTTGCCAGTTGGTCAGCGCATGCTCGGAGTACACATCCTGGTAATCCGTCTGGCCCTGCGGCCTTGTGAATGTTGACCTGCTTAAAAGTCTAACTCACATCGGCTACGGAGAGCATGATCACATAGTCATCCGGAACAGCTGGTCCTTTCATGCATGCTTTAGTGTTGCTTGCCTCAAAGCGAGCATAGAAGTGATTTAGCTCGTCTAGTAGGCTCGTGTCACTGTGCAGCTTGCGGCTGTACTTCCCTTTGTAGTCTGTCATATTTTGCAAGCCCTGCCACATCCGACGAGCGTCGGAGCCGGTGTAGTACGATTCAATCTTAGTCCTGTATTGACTCTTTGCCTGTTTGATGGTTTGTCGGAGGGCAGAGCGGGATTTCTTATAAGCATCCCTGTTCCTTGAAAGCGGAAGCTCTACCCTTTAGCTCAGTGCAGATGTTGCCTGTAATCCATGGCTTCTGATTGGGGTATGTATGTACGGTCACTGTGGGGACGACGTCATCGATGCACTTATTGATGAAGCCAGTGACTGATGTGGTGTACTCCTCAATGCCATCGGAAGAATCCCGGAACATATTCCAGTCTGTGCTAGCAAAACAGTCCTGTAGCTTAGCATCTGCGTCATCTGACCACTTCCTTATTAACCGAGTCACTGGTGCTTCTTGCTTTAGTTTTTGCTTCTAAGCAGGAATCAGGAGGATAGAATTTGCAACTATTTGGAATAATAATTGCACCCCAGATCAGCTAGATGCAGGCAAGAGTGTGCAAGGCGGTATTGAATGTGTCACTTTGATTACTTCAATTTGTCTCTCGACATGTAGCATAGGTTGTAGCAACCTCATGATGAGTACAGGGTAAATTCTAGTATCATGTAGCCTGAACTGTTACATTGAGCTGATATGCTTAAATCCAATAAGCGTTCCAGTTTATACAGCTTGGAGTTGGGAAATATGCATAATAATGATGATATGGTCAAAATACTGACTTGCCTAATAATTGTGCACACAATGTAGTAGGTATCATGTAGGGACGTTCACCCGCCTTGAGACATGAAGTGGTGTCAACCTTGACCTGCCCTAGCCTATCTAATAGACTGACTCTACCCCACTGAGATGGTTGTGCTAGCTCCACTGTGTTTGAAGATGTCCCTATAGTAGAATGTGGGTTTTAGTTGCCTCCTCTGTCTGCAGTATAAACCCTCTGAGACCAGAAGAATGAGATATCTCACTGTGTGTGTGTGTGTGTGTTCACTGCCCACTTTTTAATGACTTTGATTCGTTTAGTGAGTTCCTCGCTCAAATAGGATTTAAGTGGCAGAGACAGTTTTTAGTTGTTATTATATTTCACATTCCTCTGAGTCAATCCCCCGACTGAGTGAGCGGTCCCTGACTGTCCTACTAAAGGTCTAGCTGCAGTAAACAAATGTAAAGTCTAACACACACACACTTTTCCCTCCCTCCCTCCCTCCCTCCCTCCCTCCCTCCCTCCCTCCCTCCTTCCCTGTCTCCCTCTGAGATCCCAGATTAAGTCCTTGAGATTCCCTGATTCAGACATTTCCCTGAAAACGCACCCCCTGATCTGTCCATCCATCCCCTCTCCTCTCCCCTCTTTTCCCCTTTTCCTTTCTCTCTCTCTCTCTTTCTCCTTTCCTTTCTTTCTCTTTCCCCCCTTCTCTTCTTTTTTTTCTTCGGGGGCTTGGTTTTTTCCCCCTTTTCTTCAAATTTCCCTTCTTCTCCTTTCCCCCTTCCACCTCTCTCGGGTTTTTTTTTCTCCCCCTCCGTTCCTTTTTCCCCCTCCCTTCCCCCCCCTCTCCCCTCCCCCTCCCCCCCCCCCCCCCCCCCCCCCCCCCCGCCCCCCTCCCCCCCCTTTCCCCCCCCCCCAAAAGGGGGGGCAAAACCGGGGGGAACCCCCCCACGGGCCCTTCAAATTCCGCCCTCCCACCCTAACCCCCTTTTTTTTTTCCCCCCCTCCTCCTCCCTTTTCCCCCTCTTCTCTTAAAAAAAAAAGGGCAAGGTTTTTTCCCCACGGGGGTTTTTTCCCCCCTTGGGGGGGGTTTTCTTTCCTTTAAAAAAGGGGAAAAAAAAGTTTTTTTTTTTTTCCCCTTTTTTTTTCACTTTTTTCAAAATTTTTTTTCCCCCCCCTTAAAAAAACTCTCCCTTCCCCCCCTTCTCTTCCTTTTCTCCTTAACCCCCCCCCTTCTCTCTCTCCTCTCTCTCTCTCTCTCTCTCTCTCTCTTCTCTCTCTCTCTCTCTCTCTCTCTGTCTCGCTTTTTTCTCGCCTGTCTCTTCTCTCTTTCTCTCTCTGTATCTTATTACTTTACTAAACTGCAGAGATTGCAAGAGGAGAGATGCGTGTGTGTGATGCTGTAGAGACGCTGTCGTGCTGTAATACAGAGCTCTGTCCTTTACTGTCTGGCCTTATGCCAACTGCTACCAGCACTGCAGAATCCTTCTGATGATGTATGTCTCAATGACATCTCTCGCTCCTCTCTCTCTCTCTCTCTCTCTCTCTCTCTCTCTCTCTCTCTCTCTCTCCCCAACATCCCCAACTCTATATTTTTTATTTCTTTTTAATCCAGCTCACCCTCAGCCTCTCCTCCTCCTCCTCTCCTCCTTTCCCCTTCCTCCTTTCTTCCTCCTTCCTCCTCCTCCTCCTCCTCTCCTCCTCTCACCTTCCTCCTTTCTTCCTCCTTCCTCCTCCTCCTCCTCTCCTCCTCTCTACTGCAGTAGATAATGTAAAGAAGCGATAGAGATTCTTTTCCAGGCGACGGAGGAGGTTTGAATGACAAAGCTGAGAGTGAGGGGGGCTAATTTAAGCAGTTACGAAACTGAATATGAATAGAGAGAGAGAGAGTGAATGAATAGAAGTCCTAGAGAGATGTCAGCTGCAACGTTTTACTTCCTATATAGGCCTACATGCTGCATAATAAGAATATAATCTCTAGGATGGTTGCTCTAGTTTTGAATAACAGGTATTAGCTACATTGTGGAATTATTTAACCCCATATGAATAAAAAAGCAGTTATTAGCTCGATCCTAAATACAACTATAATCCACAGTCTTACCTGCCTCCTCTGGCTTCTGTCCTTGAAAGGTAACAGTTCAAGAAACAGTCCAATTCTGAAGAAAAAACCTCAGTAAAGATAGAAATTGTCATTTAATTGATAGTAGACCTAATGTCGTAGAGGTCAAAGTGATTCAAATGTTTTAATAAAACGTTACAAGGCTCCTATTCTGATAAGCCACACCTCTAACGACACCCACACCTTTAAATTCCAAGCCTTAAAAGGTGAATATGTAAATAAGCTAAATGCAGACACCCTTGGCCAAGTTATAATACACAGCACATTTCAATACTCACAGTATTTAATAGATATATTCCTTTCCCTTCATACCTAAGTTTCAGTAATGTTTAATTTCATAATGACTATGTTGATAGAAAGCACCACTCCTCCTGATGACAGGCACTCTGCTGTAGTGACAGAGCTGTCATAGTTAAAGACTAAGAGTCACTTTGTTACGCTCCTTCTCCTCCACTCTCCGATTTAAAGACCGCACACACGCACGCACACACAAACGTGTGTGCACACACACACAAACGTGCGTGCACTCACACACGCACACACACACACACCAGGAGAGCTGAAATCCCATCATCCTTCACTGTCATCCTGGCATTCCGATCATCCTCATTACCATAATATTCCCATTCCCATGATGCCCTGCTCCTACTACATCATCGCTCTCTCTCTCCTCCTTTTCCTGCCTCTCCCTCTTCCTGTCTCTCTAACTCCCCTGTGGGATGACTACTCTATTAAATGAATGAGTAATTCTGATGAAGTCCCTTCAGACTCCTGAGCAGGAGCCTTTGAAGGTAGCAGAACACGAGAACCAATAAGTTGTACCCTCCTCACGCCTGAAGTTTTAGAGGCAGCACTTGGATGCCCCCTGGTGGACATACCTGGAACTGACCTGCTTTTCAATGGCCAGGAGAGGGCAGTAACACTTCGCAAATAAGTTTGTGAGAGAGAGAGACAGAGAGAGAGCGAGAGACAGAGAGGAGAAGAGAGAGAGAGAGAGAGAGAGAGAGAGAGCGAGAGAGAGGAGAGAAGAGAGAGAGAGAGAGAGAGAGAGAGAGAGAGAGAGAGGAGAGAGAGAGAGAGAGAGAGAGAGAGAGAGAGAGCATTTTTTATATTTCTCTCCATCCCTCCGATTGGTTAGAAGTTTCCAGATTGTTTTTTTCAGAACTTTCTCTACTATAAAACTCATGGAAAAGTGCAAAAGCTTTTCTTTAGAAGTGGAAACGCTCCAAACTGACAGGACTACACAACAGACCAAGGAGAGACAACACACACTTCTGGGATTACTTCTTGAGGAATATTGTAATTGAAAACTCACACTAACTTCACACAGCATTTGGCTATTATCTTCAGCTTGTCATCTCTATCAACTGTGATCGTTTTCTTCTGTTTTACAGTTTTTAACAGGGTTTTTACAACACAGGACTATTTTCAAATCTTTACAATTCCTTTCACAATAGTCCCATAGCCGTTGTGAGTCTGACAAGCGAGGCTACTTTCACACGAGCTTCAACGTATCTTTAAAGTATCATCAGTTGTTTTTGAACCTTTGGGGACTATTTGGGCTGTGGACTGTCCAATTCCCACTGTCTTGAGTCACTCTGACTGCCTGGACCATTTTACGTTTTTATAAACAGTTTTTGAAGACTATTCTACCTTAGGACTACCCTACCTCTCATTGCCATGGCGAACAGCTGTCTCCAGCTCAGCGGTTTTGTGATGAGTTGTATCGGGTGGGTCGGGATCCTTATCGCCACGGCCACCAACGACTGGGTAGTGACATGTAAATACGGCATGAACACATGCAAGAAGATGGACGAGTTAGGAGCCAAGGGCCTGTGGGCTGAATGTGTCATATCAACCGCCCTCTATCACTGTATATCACTGACACAGATATTGGACCTACCAGGTAATAGAACATTACTCTACTGTATAATACTATACTCTACTCTACTCTACTATACTATACTATACAGTAATACATAATAATACTATATTAAAGGTAATATAACATTACTATACTATATTATACTATACTCTACTATACAACAATAAATAATAATAATATATTAAAGGTAATAGAACATTACTATACTCTACTATGTTATACTATAATACACTCTACTATACTATACAGTAATACATAATACTACTGTGTTGAAGGCAATATAACATGACTCTACTCTACTATACTGTACGATACTCCACTATACTCTAATATACTACACTCTACTATACTGTACAGTAATAAATCATACTGCTATATTAAAGGTAATATAACATTACTATACTATACTCCACTATACTCCACTATACTATACTCTATTATATTATAATCTACTACACTCTACTATACTCCACTATACTATATTATATTATACTCCACTCCACTCCACAATGGGGCTGTGCAGACTGTTGCGTCTCTGTGGCTGTGGACTCTGACCAAGAGGTTATGATATATTGTGACTATTTCACAGCTAAAGGGTGTTGTTTGTCCCAAGCCTAAACCGATAGTCTAGAACAGCTAGTCTCAAACTCAAGGCCTGGATATCTTTCCTATTGGAATCAACCAAGATTACTATGGCACATTTCAAGCCATACCATTTATTTCTCTGTCTCTGTGTGTGTGTGTACAGCATACATCCAGACGTCGAGAGCATTGATGATAACTGGATCCCTCCTGGGGCTGCCTGCGGTGGGGATGGTCCTAACAGCCATGCCCTGCATCTCCCTGGGGGACGAGCCTCAGTCAGCCAAGAACAAACGATCCCTACTTGGGGGAGTTCTCATACTGCTAGTGGGTAAGTCTGGACACACAGACACGCATGCACGCACGAACACAAACACACGGACACACACACACGGACAAGGACAGACAGACAGACAGACACACATACACACTTGAGCACAGAGACAGATGTTTGCATACACATTACAACATACGGTCATACTCATAACAACCCCAACCCCAGCCCCAGGCCTAACCTTGACCCTTAACCCCCCCCATCCTTCCTCCCACCCACCCCTCCCAGCCCTCCCTTTCACCCCTCCCAGTCCTAACCCATTATTTACCCTGAGGTGGTGAGACTAGGATATGCTATGGGACTCTTCCTCTCTAGACTAGAGGATATGCTATGGGACTCTTCCTCTTTAGACTAGAGGATATGCTATGGGACTCTTCCTCTCTAGACTAGAGGATATGCTATGGGACTCTTCCTCTTTAGACTAGAGGATATGCTATGGGACTCTTCCTCTCTAGACTAAAGGATATGCTATGGGACTCTCTTCCTCTCTAGACTAGAGGATATGCTATGGGACTCTCTTCCTCTGTAGAGAACTCCCTCTCAGCACACACCAACTCAACCCTGAATGACACACAAAAACACACAGACATGCACCCACGTACACACACGCAAAACACACAATTCCCTACAGTTCAACGCATCCCCCAGACCACCATTCCTCACCACCCACCTCGTCCACACCCTGTTCCCTCCTGCTGGAAAATATTTTCCCATTTGTTGTTTAACACAACATAAAAACCTGTTTGATCTGCCTTTCACTGTCCAGTTTTCCAGTACCGTGTTCCACATGATGTCCATCGTATGTCTGTGTGTGTGTGTGCATGCGTGTGTACGATGTCGTATATACTACTATAAGTACTATATTTACCTATACATTATACTGTGTACTGAACAAAAATATAAACGCAACATGGTCCCATGTTTCATGAGCTGAAATAAAAGATCCCAGAAATGTTCCATACGCACTAAAAGCTTAGTTCTCTAATATGTTGTGCACAAATTAGTGTACATCCCTGTTAGTGAGCATTTCTCCTTTGCCAAGATAATCCATCCACCTGATAGGTGTGGCATATCAAGAAGCTGATTAAACAGCATGATCATTACACAGGTGCACCTTGTTTTGGGGACAATGAAATGCCACTCTAAAATGTGCAGTTATGTCACACAACACAATGCAACAGATGTCTCAAGTTTGGAGGGAGCGTGCAATTGGCATGCTGACTGCAGGAATGTCCACCAGAGCTGTTGCCAGAGAATTGAATGTTAATTTCTCTACCATATAAGCCGCCTTCAAAGTCATTTTATAGAATTTGGCAGTATGTCCAACCGGCCTCACAACCACAGACCACATGTAACCACGCCAGCCCAGGACCTCGACATCCGGCTTCTTCACCTGCGGGATCGTCTGTGACCAGCCTCCCGGACAGCTGATAAAACTGAGGAATATTTCTGTCTGTAATAAAGCCCTTTTGTGTGGAAAAACTCATTCTGATTGGCTGGGCCTGGCTCCCCAGTGGGTGGGCCTGGCTCCTCAGTGGGTGTGCCTATGCCCTCCCAGGGCCACCCATGGCTGAGCCCCTGCCCAGTCATGTGAAATCCATAGATTAAGGCCTAATGAATTTATTTCAATTGACTGCTTTCCTCATATGAACTGTAACTCAGTAAAATTGTTGCATGTTACGTTTATATTTTTGTTCAGTGCCTTGCAAAAGTATTCATCCCCCTTGGCGTATTTCCTATTTTGTTGCATTACAACCTGTAATTTAAATGGATTTTTATTTGGATTTCATGTAATGGACATACACAAAATAGTCCAAATTGGTGAAGTGAAATGCAAAAAATTACTAAAACATAAATAACGGAAAAGTGGTGCGTGCATATGTATTCACCCCCTTTGCTATGAAGCCCCTAAATAAGATCTGGTGCAACCAATTACCTTCAGAAGTCACATAATTAGTTAAATAAAGTCCACCTGTGTGCAATGTAAGTGTCACATGATCTGTCACATGATCTCAGTATATATACACCTGTTCTGAAAGGCCCCAGAGTCTGCAACACCACTAAGCAAGGGGCACCATGAAGACCAAGGAGCTCTCCAAACAAGTCAGGGACAAAGTTGTGGAGAAGTACAGATCAGGGTTGGGTTATAAAAAAATATCCAAAACTTTAAACATCCCACGGAGCACCATTAAATCCATTATTAAAAAAAGAAAGAAAGAAAGAATATGGCACCACAACAAACCTGCCAAGAGAGGGCCGCCCACCAAAACTCACGGACCAGGCAAGGAGGGCATTAATCAGAGAGGCAACAAAGAGACCAAAGATAACCCTGAAGGAGCTGCAAAGCTCCACAACGGAGATTGGAGTATCTGTCCACTTTAAGCCGTACACTCCACAGAGCTGGGCTTTATGGAAGAGTGGCCAGAAAAAAGCCATTGCTTAAAGAAAAAAATAAGCAAACACGTTTGGTGTTCGCCAAAAGGCATGTGGAAGACTCCCCAAACATATGGAAGAAAGTATTCTGGTCAGATGAGACGAAAATTCAGCTTTTTGGCCATCAAGGAAAACGCTATGTCTGGCACAAACCTCTCATCACCCCGAGAACACCATCCCCACAGTGAAGCATGGTGGTTGGCAGCATCATGCTGTGGGGTTGTTTTTCATCGGCAGGGACTGGGAAACTGGTCAGAATTGAAGGAATGATGGATGGCACTAAATACAGGGAAATTCTTGAGGGAAACCTGTTTCAGTCTTCCAGAGATTTGAGACTGGGACGAAGGTTCACCTTCCAGCAGGACAATGACCCTAAGCATACTGCTAAAGCAACACTCAAGTGGTTTAAATGTCTTGGAATGGCCTAGTCAAAGCCCAGACCTCAAGCCAATTGAGAATCTGTGGTATGACTTAAAGATTGCTGTACACCAGCGGATCCCATCCAACTTGAAGGAGCTGGAGCAGTTTTGCCTTGAAGAATGGGCAAAAATCCCAGTGGCTAGATGTGCCAAGCTTATAGTGACATACCCCAAGAGACTTGCAGCTGTAATTGCTGAAAAAGGTGGCTCTACAAAGTATTGACTTTGGGGGGGGGGGGTGAATAGTTATGCACACTCAAGTTTTCTGTTTTTTTTGTCTTATTTCTTGTTTGTTTCACAATAAAAAATATTTTGCATCTTCAAAGTGGTAGGCATGTTGTGTAAATCAAATGATACAAACCCCCAGGTTGTAAGGCAACAAAATAGGAAAAATGCCAAGGGGGGTGAATACTTTCGCAAGCCACTGTACATGTTCATAATCAAATCAAATCAAAATCTAATTTTATTTGTCACATGCGCCGAATACAACAGGTGTAGACTTTACCGTGAAATGCTTACTTACGAGCCCTTTCCCAACAATGCAGAGTTAACAAGTATGAAAAAAGTTGAACCTTTTATGTGTATTAAATGTGTGTATTAATCTAAATCGCTCTCTCTTCCCTTCCTCCTCCATAGCTCTGTGTGGGGGGGTGTCGACAGTATGGTTTCCTATCGGAGCCCACCAGGACCAGGGTCTCATGTCGTTTGGGTTCAGCCTGTACGCTGGCTGGGTGGGCGCGGCCTTCTGTCTCCTGGGAGGGGCCATGATCACCTGCTGTTCTACTGAACCCTCCCAACACTACAATCACCATGACAACAACAGGTTCTACTACTCCAAAGGACAGGTGCCTGGCAACCCTGTTCCACCCTCCACTAACCACGCCAAGAGTGCCCATGTTTAGACATACATACACTAGATGCATGCACTCACACAGACACACACACACACACAATACACACACAGACACACACACACACACACACACACACACACACACACACACACACACACACACACACACACACACACACACACACACACACAGACAGACAGACAGACACACACCAGTGTTGTGTAACTCAGAAGGGGGTCTAACCTGGTGCCTGAAGAGAAACCAGGGGTCCTGATCGGGACAACCCTGCTCTGATTAAGAACTTATTTTTATCCCTTTGTTCTACAATGAAGGCTAGGGTTAGGGTTAGGGTTCTTTGTTCTACAATGAAGGCTAGGGTTAGGGTTAGGGTTCTTTGTTCTACAATGAAGGCTAGGGTTAGGGTTAGGGTTCTACAATGAAGGCTAGGGTTAGGATTAGGGTTCTTTGTTCTACTATGAAGGATAACTGTGGATGGAAAGTACTGTACATCTATCAGTGCATTTTATAGAAAATAAATGTGTACCTTTTTTAATAAAGACTGTGATGATTTTTTGTTTTTGATAAATACCATGTCTTGAATGTTTCTTATTGTTGATTATATAATGATCATTATGTTGGTACCTACCTGTGTTCCAAGAGTAATATGGTAAGGAATTGTATTATTATATTGTTTTATTATATGATGACAAACCGATCAAACGGCAATGTAGCCGTTCTCTCGAACACTGCCAAGTCAGTTTCTTTAGCCTGATGGAACGGTTAGTGATAGGGTTTGCCTAACATGGCCAAACAAATCAAAAACATGCAAGACCGTATGAAACCTAGGGCTCGATTAAATCCGAATCGCACAAGTTCAGAGTTATAGCGCAATTTCAATTTAAAGGTAATTTCCGATTGAGCCGACATAGACTGGTTGGTTGTTTTGTGTGCAACTATGGGGTAAAACAGATTGGGTTGGCTTAGATTGTTGACAACATGTAAGCTATATTTAATCTCCAATGTTTATTGAAAACATAAATACATGTTTACAATGAGCACTTGTTGTCTCTCAAATACATTGTTACAGTTGTTGGTTAGCTAGCTAGCGAATTTTAGCCATATTAGCATAGATGTGACTTCAGTCAAAACACCTCAAAACAAGACATGGTATCAAGAACAAGAGGAAACGAGCTACTTACGATTCCCTACATGGCAGTTTCTTGTCATTCTTGCTATCTATCTGGCCCATCCAGAATCACAACAACACGCTGACTTCTACCCCATGGAAGCATGCACATCGTTTTCGTGACGTTGTCAGCTAACATATTTATACTGTATGCAGCCTTGACCGTGAATGCAGTCTCTGCTAACACGGGAACATTGCCTTTAAATTCCTAACGCAGTTCTTTAGCGCTACGGATTGAATCGAGCCCCTCGAGGGCTTGAGTGACATTAATGAATAAATTATGTTTTGACAGAGAGATCTACAACTAAAATTGTTAAGATAATGTTCTTCATTTCACGTTTGAGCCGTATGTGTAGGAGAGGCTCTGTACTGTTTCTATGTCTCCAGGTTTCATAGTTCTGTCAACATGGCCCCTTCCTTTTTCATCTCTAATGACACCCTACCTTATATAGTGCACTACAAAGGACCGGTGGGGCAAACACTACATAGTATGTGTCTCTGGCCAATAGTAACGCAGCACACTGGGGTGTCATTTCAGATGTGTTTGTTCATTATGTGGTCTATCCACCAGACTCCCTCTCTGTAGTTCTAACAACAACTCTTTGTAAAAACACAAACGTTTCTGGAACTTGTCCGCCATAACAGTGTTCATCTTGGTTTATTTATTGTGCTATCCCAGTGTTTTTGTTAGATTTTCTGTAATAAATAAAAATGTGATTTGGTTAATATGAATAATAATAATAAATAAAAAAGTCCCAATGTTTTTCATGTCAAGTAAAATGACTAGCTAACTGCCCCAACATTTCTGTCAAATGTTCAAACACCCCAAACAGGAATCCTCTACTCTCTCCCCCTCTCCAGCCATGTTTCCCTAACTGTAGCAAAATAAACACTGACATCAGAGGTGTTCTCACTGCTGCTCCGGTTCTATCTGACCCCAAAACACAGGAAGTGTAGCATGTGTGTGTGTGATGTAATCAGTAATCCTAGTCTGTGTTCCCTGAAGCATATCTGGCCTCGTGAACTGTCTGTTTTTCGCACTGAGTGAGGACACAGACGTATGTGTGTGTGTTCACCCAGGGCATTGTTATAAAGTGTGTTATCAGTGGTGTGACTCTGACCTTGTCCTGGTTAGCTCAGCACAGAAGGCTCTGTTCCCTGTGATACACTGATACACACTGTCCTATCATATCCTCCTCTATGTCGCAGCGTGTGTGTTTGTGTGTGTGTGTGTTCATGCATGTTTCTGTGACAAAAACAGAGCCAGTCCAGTTCATATTTGCAATAAATAATGTTTCATTGTTGCATGGAGGCGATACCGACAACTCAGCTTAAACAAGCGCACTCAGGAGCAGAAACACACACAGGGCCAGACTCCCAAACTACACCCTATTCCTTTAAAAGTGCACTACTTTTGGCCAGAGTCCTGATAGGGTGTCATTTCAGACCAAGTCATGGAGAAAAAACTATATTAAAACACCAACAGAAAACCCCAAATACATCAGAACATTTCACAACTTCAGATACCAAAAATATACAGAAGAAAAACAAATATCTAGTCAGCAAACAGAAGCCAGTCTCAACAACCCACAAAGACACCCAGCCACAGGAGAGAGATAGAGGCAGGAATTCAATCGCAGCGCATTTCATTGACCTATTGAAAAAACCAGCAATTGAACCAATGTGGATAGCTGGCGTTAATTTATATCACCCATCCCTAAACGGGCTTTAGGAAGCTGTTAGGAGGATTGTTGACGTTCTGTGCGGTTCAAACTGAAATGCATTATGATTGAATACCAGGAAGTGGACAGAAACATGGCACACCTTCTCCTCCGAGACAAAATAAACAAACAAACAGCAGGTCTGACTTTAAAAGCAACAGTGGCAACATTCTCTTTAGTGTTGTAATAAAATAGTGTTTTATTGTTTTTATATTGTTTTTGGTCTAAACCTTCTAATTTGCCTACTTTAGACTGGAATAAATGTTATAAGATCTTTAAAAGAAAATAGAAAATGTTTTTAACTTAGCCTTTTAGGACTAGAGAGATGGAAGTAGTTAAAAATATAAGCTTTCGCCATTTCCTCCCAAGCTGGGCTCTGTTGGGCGAAATACAGGAAGTGAAAGTGAATAAACCTCACCCACTTACTGTGGAGGCCCACCATTGGAGGACCATAGGTGTAGGCGTGACCCAGCAGTAGAAAAATAATTAGTTTTTTTTTTGTTTACTCCTATTTTGGTTTGATAGTTTTTCCTCATGTTTATGTGTCGATGCTGTTGGATATAACTGTATGTATTTACTCCAGCTAGTGAATGTAATTGCATGTGTCTACTTTAGCAAGTGTCTTCAGTAAAACTTGAATTCTGCTTAGAAACGGCTTCTAAACCATCATTAGATATGCAGTTAACCCTTAGTAAACTGTATCAATATCAATAGAAAAATTGAATTATTTGGGTCTTTTTATACTTGGTTCCAGGTGAATCCTGATTGAATAGTTAACGTTCATAATCCAATTTGACTTAAACAAACCCTGTTATAATGATTATGAACAGTTTATAAGCAGAACGTATAGGGTTACGGTGTAACCCTTTAATATACCGTGAGTGACTTCAATCTATTATACAGGTCTATTGGTCTAGTCTAATGGATTCTCATGGTTGTTTTGTTCTCTACAAAGTTAACAAACGTTGTGGACTTTGGCTTGCTTTGTAAACACAGGTGTGGGGGTAAGGGGTGGAGTTAGTGGTGGGAATGATACCAAAGAACCCCTCAACCACCACCTCCTAAATTTGCTACATATCATACCCCAGGTCCAGATCGACCTGTCCCCTTCGCCCTATAGTTTCCCTTGTCAGGGGTCAGGGGTCAGTTTGGAGTAGGGTGTTGTTAGTTCTATGATGTCTCTTGGCCGTCGGTCACCACATGCAAATACAACATCTACAACCATGCTATACAAATTAGCATGCTATCACATTCACCAGCCAGCCACGTCACATAGCCACAGGCATGGAACACACACACACACACACACACACACACACACACACACACACACACACACACACACACACACACACACACACACACACACACACACACACACACACACACACACACACACACACACACACAGAGACATAATATTTACAGTACAACTAAGGAGCACAGAGTACCTACTGAAGCCCCTTTCTGGTTTTGGGTTCAGCTGAACTGTATGTGTGTGTGTGTGTTTGTGTGCGTATGTGTATGTATGTGTGTGTTTCACTGGACAACACAAGCGAGCCCACGCCTGAACAGCAGAGAGAACCCTGGGTGGTGAAGTTAGGGATGGAGGTCAGCGGTTAGGGGTCGAGGAGAGTAGGAAGGGTCGCGTGGCATCTTCAGTTCAGTGCATTTAACAGATAAGGCTTCCCCAAGGGGGTAGAGACCTTAGAATTAGAGGGTTCTATGTGACTAAACATTCAGAGATATTTGGCTTATGTGAGAGCAATTCTTATCTTGAGAGCAATTCTTATCTCGTCTTCTTTCTAACATAGTAACATTAATTTGGAGATGTAGGTAGAGAACATTGTTTAGAGCATGGTGGTGTCCATAACTCTGTTTAGAAAAAAACTGTCATTTAGAACCTTTTAATTCTGAGCTCTAGCAATGCAGCAACAGGGGCTTGGGGGTGAGAATGGGTGAGAATTCAGAGAGAGTGGGATGGAGCAAAAGAAGTCACAAACACACTTCACTCCTAAGACCCTAAAGGGGACATAGATACAAGGTGTAAAAGCATACACACACACATACACACACACGCACACATGCACACACACACAGCCCAAAGAAAAACATACACGCACACACGTGCACACACAGATGAAGGCACTATTGCAAGCAAAGTCCAAAAACACCATCTGCCCCCCTCCTTCCTAGATAGAGACTGGAGAGGTGGGTGTGTGTCTGTGTGTGTGTGTGTAGCTGGTTTCTTCTCTGTAAGATGAGAGAAGCAGCTGAGACAACTGGACCAGTGACAGTAAGTGACCTCGGCTCAGCGCTCTGACAGCTTCCTATGTGTGTGGTGAACCAGGAAATGCTGACTCGCTACCAGTCTGTCATAACTCTGGACTGTCTATAGTGAGAGGAAAATACATTCACTGTATGCCCATCACCAAATCAACCCAAAGACCCCTTCCACTGTTTGTAATTTGTAGTCTACAGCTTTCCTCCATAGGATCATATTTCCTTTGGAACTCAATGAAAGGGATATAAAAAACTAAAAAGTATGTAACAAGGAACCCACACACACACACACACACACACACACACACACACACACACACACACACACACACACACACACACACACACACACACACACACACACACACACACAGCAGGCAGGCAGGCAGCCAACAGTAGGCAGTACATTCAGGTGTTAACAACAATAACATCTATCAATCCTCTGGGAAACATCAGTCCATCCATCCGTCCATCATTCCGTTCTTCTCAGAAATCCATTGGGTCCTCCTCCGCTAGCGCTCTGTTAGCTCCTCCCTTCGGATCCGTCCAATCATCATCATCTGCCTTGGGGGGTACCTGCCCTGACCCGTCAACACCGCCTGGTGGGGCCCAGGGGTCGTTGTTGCTAGGGGGGTAGAGGTCGTCGTCAACGCTGAAGCCTGAGAAGCCGTCGTCCACCCCTGCATGGTGGCCATCGTAGCGCTGGTATGTAGACGCATGGACCTCCTGCTCCCTGGACCTGATCTCTAATGTACTGTTCCACATCCCATAGCCAAAGTAGATCAGGATACCTGAAGGGGAGACACACACCAACACGCAGAGAGAGACGCACACACACACACACATGCATACGAACACACACACACACACACATGCATACAAACACACGCACACACGCGCGCACACACACTCGCACAGTGTTAGAGTATGTGGTACATAGACACATGTACCTTCATCCATCCATCCATCCACACTTCTCTCCATTAACGCACCTAGGAAGCACCAGACAGCGAAGCGTATCCAGGTGATAGCAGACAGTTTTAACATCAGGTAGCTGTTGACCAGCATGGCAGCAGCAGGAACCCAGGGAACAGCCGGAGCCATGTAAGGCAGTCGCTTAGGGTTCTCTGGCTGCTGCAGGATGATGATGAGGAGGAGAGCCATGAAGATGACCAGGAAGATCAGCAGGAGAAGGGCCCACCAGCTGCCATCACCGATGCTGGCCGCACCTGGAGAATAGAAGAGAGAAGTTCAAATCAAATCAAATCAAATTGTATTGGTCACATGCGCCGAATACAACAGCTGCAGACATTACAGTGAAATGCTTACTTACAGCCCTTAACCAACAGTGCATTTATTTTTAACAAAAAAAGTAAAAATAAAACAACAACAACAAAAAGTGTTGAGAAAAAAAAGAGCAGAAGTAAAATAAAATAACAGTAGGGAGGCTATATATATACAGGGGGGTAGCGTTGCAGAGTCAATGTGCGGGGGCACCGGCTAGTTGAGGTAGTTGAGGTAATATGTACATGTGGGTAGAGTTAAAGTGACTATGCATAAATAATTAACAGAGTAGCAGCAGCGTAAAAAGGATGGGGTGGGGGGGCAGTGCAAATAGTCCGGGTAGCCATGATTAGCTGTTCAGGAGTCTTATGGCTTGGGGGTAGAAGCTGTTGAGAAGTCTTTTGGACCTAGACTTGGCACTCCGGTACCGCTTGCCGTGCGGTAGCAGAGAGAACAGTCTATGACTAGGGTGGCTGGAGTCTTTGACAATTTTGAGGGCCTTCCTCTGACACCGCCTGGTATAGAGGTCCTGGATGGCAGGAAGCTTGGCCCCAGTGATGTACTGGGCCGTACGCACTACCCTCTGTAGTGCCTTGCGGTCGGAGGCCAAGCAGTTGCCATACCAGGCGGTGATGCAACCAGTCAGGATGCTCTCGATGGTGCAGCTGTAGAATTTTTTGAGGATCTGAGGACCCATGCCAAATCTTTTCAGTCTCCTGAGGGGGAATAGGCTTTGTCGTGCCCTCTTCACGACTGTCTTGGTGTGTTTGGACCATGATAGTTCGTTGGTGATGTGGACACCAAGGAACTTGAAGCTCTCAACCTGTTCCACTACAGCCCCGTCGATGAGAATGGGGGCGTGCTCAGTCCTCTTTTTTTTCCTGTAGTCCACAATCATCTCCTTTGTCTTGGTCACGTTGAGGGAGAGGTTGTTGTCCTGGCACCACACGGCCAGGTCTCTGACCTCCTCCCTATAGGCTGTCTCATCGTTGTCGGTGATCAGGCCTACCACTGTTGTGTCGTCGGCAAACTTAATGATGGTGTTGGAGTCGTGCCTGGCCATGCAGTCATGGGTGAACAGAGAGTACAGGAGGGGACTGAGCACGCACCCCTGAGGGGCCCCCGTGTTGAGGATCAGTGTGGCAGATGTGTTGTTACCTACCCTTACCACCTGGGGGCGGCCCGTCAGGAAGTCCAGGATCCAGTTGCAGAGGGAGGTGTTTAGTCCCAGGATCCTTAGCTTAGTGATGAGCTTAGAGGGCACTATGGTGTTGAATGCTGAGCTGTAGTCAATGAATAGCATTCTCACGTAGGTGTTCCTCTTGTCCAGGTGGGAAAGGGCAGTGTGGAGTGCAATAGAGATTGCATCATCTGTGGATCTGTTGGGGCGGTATGCAAATTGGAGTGGGTCTAGGGTTTCTGGGATAATGCTGTTGATGTGAGCCATGACCAGCCTTTCAAAGCACTTCATGGCTACAGACGTCAGTGCTACGGGTCGGTAGTCATTTAGGCAGGTTATCTTAGTGTCCTTGGGCACAGGGACTATGGTGGTCTGCTTGAAACATGTTGGTATTACAGACTCAGTCAGGGACATGTTGAAAATGTCAGTGAAGACACTTGCCAGTTGGTCAGCACATGCTCGGAGTACACGTCCTGGTAATCCGTCTGGCCCTGCGGCCTTGTGAATGTTGACCTGCTTAAAAGTCTTACTCACATCGGCTACGGATAGCGTGATCACATAGTCATCCGGAACAGTTGGTGCCCTCATGCATGCTTCAGTGTTGCTTGCCTCGAAGCGAGCATAGAAGTGGTTTAGCTCGTCTGGTAGGCTTGTGTCACTGGGCAGCTCGCGGCTGTGCTTCCCTTTGTAGTCTGTAATAGTTTTCAAGCCCTGCCACATCCGACGAGTGTCAGAGCCAGTGTAGTACGATTCAATCTTAGTCCTGTATTGACTCTTTGCCTGTTTGATGGTTCGTCGGAGGGCATAGCGGGATTTCTTATAAGCGTCCGGGTTAGAGTCCCGTTCCTGGAAAGCGGCAGCTCTACCCTTTAGCTCAGTGCGGATGTTTCCTGTAATCCATTGCTTCTGGTTGGGGTATGTACGTACGGTCACTATGGGGACGACATCATCGATGCACTTATTGATGAAGCCAGTGACTGATGTGGTGTACTCCTCAATGCTGTCTGAAGAATCCCGGAACATGTTCCAGTCTGTGCTAGCAAAACAGTCCTGTAGCTTAGCATCTGCGTCTTCTGACCACTTTTTTATTAACCGAGTCACTGGTGCTTCCTGCTTTAGTTTTTGCTTATAAGCAGGAATCAGGAGGATAGAGTTATGGTCAGATTTGCCAAATGGAGGGCGAGGGAGAGCTTTGTATGCGTCTCTGTGTGTGGAGTAAAGGTGGTCTAGAGTTTTTTTTCCTCTGGTTGCACATTTAACATGCTGGTAGAAATTAGGTAGAACGGATTTAAGTTTCCCTGCATTAAAGTCCCCGGCCACTAGGAGCGCTGCATCTGGATGAGCGTTTTCCTGTTGATTTATGGCCTTGTACAACTCATTCAGTGCAATCTTAATGCCAGCATTGGTTTGTGGTGGTAAATAGACAGCTATGAAAAATATAGATGAAAACTCTCTTGGTAAATAGTGTGGTCTACAGCTTATCATAAGATACTCTACCTCAGGCGAGCAAAACCTCGAGACTTCCTTAGTATTTGATTTTGTGCACCAGCTGTTGTTTACAAATATACACAGACCGCCACCCCTTGTCTTACCGGAGTCAGCCGTTCTATCCTGCCGATGTAGCGTATAGCTGTATGTTATCCATGTCGTCGTTCAGCCACGACTCGGTGAAACATAAGATATTACAGTTTTTAATGTCCCGTTGGTAGGATAACCGTAATCTTAGGTCATCCAATTTATTTTCAAATGATTGAACGTTGGCTAATAGGATTGATGGAAGAGGCAGTTTACTCGCTCGCCGTCGGATCCTTACAAGGCACCCCGATCTACGTCCACGATATCTCCGTCTCTTCCTCACGCGAATGACGGGGATTTGGGCCTTGTCGGGTGTCTGTATGATATCCTTCGCGGCCGCCTCGTTGAAGAAAAAATATTCGTCCAATACGAGGTGAGTAATCGCTGTCCTGATATCCAGAAGCTCTTTTTGGTTATAAGAGACGATGGCAGAAACATTATGTACAAAATAAATTACAAATAACGCGGAAAAACACACATAATAGTACAATTGGTTAGAGGGCTGTAAAACGGCAGCCATCTTCTCCGGCGCTGTTTCACTGGGGACTTTATTGTAGAATATATAGGAGTGAAATAACTAGAGAAGGAAACTTTCACCATGCAGAAACGTCATTATTTCAATGGAATAATATAATATGATAGAATTAAATGATTTAGCAGTTTGCAGTTAGTTTGGTTTGTGTAGTTTTAGATGTATGTTGTTGAGTGCAAGTCATTTGAGAAATGTGGGTTTGAATCTTACACATTTGTTTTGTAATTAAAGTTTGATATAATACAGAAACGAATGGTGTATCAGTGGGAGTATAGTTTCAATAGTACTGAGTGTTGAACAGAGACGTCTCCTCACCGAAGATGATGAAGGAGTTGAAGATGAAGACGGCGAGGAAGAGGAGGAGGACACAGACAGTAACTGTCTTCCCTGTTGCCGGAGTGGGCCGGTCCATTTTCCCTGGCAGGCCCAATCGGATCCTCATGGTGTAGTACCGTGGACCAATCAGCTTCTTCAGCCTCCACGACATCCCGCCCTCCGACTCTTCTGATTCGATGCCGGAGCCCATGTCGACGGTGCCGTAGTTCGGGTGGCTGGCAGTGTAAGTGGTTTTATCTGGTTTACCAATCAGCATCTCGTTGTCGCCTGGATTACAATATTACAATGTTACAATGTTACAATATTACAATATTACAATGTTACAATATTAAAATATTACAATGTTAGGGTAATATGGTAATATGGTATTAGGTTAGTAGGACGGAAGTGTGTGTGTGTGTGTGTGTGTGTGTGTGTGTGTGCACCTAGCGAGGGGAGATTCTTAGCTCCACAGGTGTTAGTTTGAGGTCCTCCGTAGTCATCTACTTCACTGATTGGAGAACACACTTCCTTCTCACACTCGGCTAACACGCCCTCCTTCTTCTTATTGGACTGCTCCTCAGACAGGAAGTTCACAAAGCCGTGGATGTCTGATTCTGGCTGGTAGCGTAGCAACAACACACACACACTAACCTGGAAGAGGTAGAGAGGAGTGAGAGTTAGTGTGTGTGTGTGTGTGTGAATGTGTGAGTGTGTGTGTGTGTAACTCACCAGTGTGTAAGCCAGTAGTGTTCCTATGGACATCATCTCTATGAGATCTCGTAGGGAGACGAGGAGAGAGAGGAGAGCAGCCAGACAGCCAGACACAACACATGCTAGTGCTGGAGTCTCAGTGTATGGAGACACATGGGCCAGGAACCTAGACACACACACACACACATGCGTTAGTGTATGATCATGTCCGTGTGTGTGTATATGAGTGTGTCCATGTGTGTGTTGTCACCTGAACAGCAGTCCGTCTCCAGCCATAGCGTAGATGACTCGTGGCATGGGGAACAGAGAGCCCAGGAGACTGACAGACAGGCCAGCTACAGAGCCTACTGCTACTATGTACTTAGCAAAGAAACAGCCATGGACAGCAAACATCTCCATCAGAGGAGCGTCTGCATCTATCTCTGTATAGGGAACCATCAGAGTCAGAATCACTGATACCTAGAGAGAGAGAGAGAGAGAGAGAGAGAGAGAGAGAGAGAGAGAGAGAGAGAGAGAGAGAGAGAGAGAGAGAGAGAGAGAGAGAGAGAGAGAGAGAGAGAGAGAGAGAGAGAGAGAGAGAGAGGGAGAGAGAGGGAGAGAGAGAGAGAGAGAGAGAAAGAGAAAGAAAGAAAAAGAACACATTAATATCACACACCACGTTAAAGTCAGGGATATGAAGATAAACTCACGTGTGCATGTCTGCAATCACTGCCCAAACTAACTCTAGTGAGTGTGAGTGTGAGTGTGTGTGTGTGTGTGTGTGTGTGTGTGTGCACGTGTGTGACTGCGCCTGTGTGATCTATGCAAACTGACGTGTGAAGTCATGCGGCCATCTGTCACAGATCAGAAAGAGAGAGAGAGAGAGAGAGAGAGAGAGAGAGAGAGAGGAGAGAGAGAGAGAGAGAGAGAGGAGAGAGAGAGAGAGAGAGAGAGAGAGAGAGAGAGAGATTGAGAGAGATAGAGATTAGGATGCAGAGATTATGGAGGAATCGAGAGGAATAAAAAGGCCATCTCTTACTGAGAGATCAACAACCTCCTAAACCAGAGATATAGATATAATATATATCTGAAACCATAGAGTATATAGATAGAGTCTCTATCTGAAAACATAGAGTATATAGATAGAGTCTCTATCTGAAAACATAGAGTATATAGATAGAGTCTCTATCTGAAACCATAGAGTATATAGATAGAGTCTCTATCTGAAACCATAGAGTATATAGATAGAGTCTCTATCTGAAACCATAGAGCATATAGATAGAGTATATCTGAAACCATAGAGTATATAGATATAGTCTCTATCTGAAACCATAGAGTATATAGAGAGAGTCTATATCTGAAACCCTATATATAGAGAGAGTCTATATCTGAAACCATAGAGTATATAGAGAGAGTCTATATCTGAAACCATAGAGTATATAGATAGAGTCTATATCTTAAACCATAGAGTATATAGATAGATTATATATCTTAAACCATAGAGTATATAGATAGAGTCTATATCTGAAACAATAAGAGTATATAGATAGAGTCTATATCCAAAACCACAGACACACATAGAAAGAGTCTAACCAACCAGAAATCATACATTCTGACAAACTCTTGAGGGCAAATGATGTCATTTGTACCGAATAGGGCATGGACGTGTATGTGTGTGTGTATATGTATGTTTGTGTGTGTGTGTATCTGTGTGTGTATCAAATCAAATCAAATGTTATTTGCCACATGCGTCGAATACAACAGGTGTAGACCTTACAGTGAAATGCTTACTTACAGCCCTTAACCAACAATGCAGTTTTTTAAGAAATAAAAAAAAAGTGTTAAGTGAAAAATAGATACATAAAAAATAATTAAAGTAAAATAAAATAACAGTAGGGAGGCTATATACAGGGGGTACCGGTACATGTGTGTATGTCTGTGTGTTTGTGTGTGCGCACGTGTTCGAGTGTGTATGCGCACGTGTGCCGGTGTGTGTGTGTACTCACAGAGACGTATGCAGTAAGGCAGGTGATGAGTGAAACAGTAATAGCATAGGGTATAGAGGTGTTGGGACTTTTTGCTTCCTCTCCTGTTGTAGCGATGATGTCAAACCCTATAAAGGCATAGAAACATGTTGCCGCTCCCTGCATCACCTGGTATAAACACACACAGGAGAGAGACAGAGGGTTAGGGGTGTCTTAAAACACAATCGCTTTTGGCATTATGATTCCACCAACAGTTGAGCTAGAGTTAGCCGTTAGTTAGCATTGTTGCTATCTAGACCTAGCTAGTAAAGTAGGAGAAGTTGACTAATGAGTTGAATATCACAATTCATTGCATATCTGCATGCCTACCAATGTATGTCTTTAATAGTGTGTGCGTATGTATATAAGTCTGTTTGTGTGTCTCACCCCTGACCACCCGAAGGGTAGGAACCTTCCATCGTCCCAGTTGTGTCCGTTGACGAAGAAGAGTCCGGCCACCATCATGAAGACCCACACCATCAGGTTGATCACATTCAACACATTATTAAACCCTACTGAGTTCTTCACCCCCAGGGCCACGATCACTGTCACTATCACTGCTATCAGCAAGGCCAGGAGGTCTGGGTACGACTGCTCTCCTTTACCTAGAGGGGGAGTGGAGGGAGGGGAGGAGGGAGGGAGGGAGGGAGGAGGGAGGGAGAGAGGGAGGGGTGAGGTAGGGGAGGAGGAGAGGGAGAGAGGGAGTTAAATACATACCACATCGAGAGGTAAAAATAAAAAATGTAACCAGGAAAAGCCCATTGAGACCCAGAGTCTCTTTTTCAAGGGAGACCTGGCCAAGAAGACCGCAACAATCAATACATTACAGAATTAAAACATACAACAAAACAATACAATTCAACAACATGATCCAGCCTAAAATAAGCATTTACACTCCTCTGTAACAGTCTCTATCAAAAATGTAAATTAATTCAGTGGCACTAACATATCTAGATGAAGCATGTATTGTAGACTATTCCATGCCTCTGGTGCACAAGACGAGAAGGCAGTCTTGCCTAATACTGTACATGTCCTGGGGACTTTAAGTAGCAACCACCTAGCAGACCGGGTATGGTAACTGCTGGTGGTGAAGGAGACCAGACTACAGTAGCAACCACCTAGCAGACTGGGTATGGTAACTGCTGGTGGTGATGGAGACCAGACTACAGTAGCAACCACCTAGCAGACCGGGTATGGTAACTGCTGGTGGTGAAGGAGACCAGACTACAGTAGCAACCACCTAGCAGACTGGGTATGGTAACTGCTGGTGGTGATGGAGACCAGACTACAGTAGCAACCACCTAGCAGACTGGGTATGGTAACTGATGGTGGTGATGGAGACCAGACTACAGAGGTAAAGAGGGAGTTTACCCAAAAGGGCTTTGTAGATGAACACATACAAATGTAGCTTTCTGCGCATATAAAGTGAGGTCCAACCCACCATTTGGTACAAGGTGCAATGGTGGGTGAGTGACTTGGCATTTGTAATAAAGAGCAAGGATGCATGATAAACAGAGTTCAGTCTCTGTAAGACAGAGGAGGCTGCATGCATATACAACAAGTCACCTTAATCAATTACAGAGAGAAAAGTGGCCTGAACAAGCTTCTTTCTAGCCATAAGCGGGAAGCAAGCCTTATTACGAAAATAAACCCAGTTTCAATTGAAGCTTCCTCACAAGATTATCCATATGAACTTTAAAGGACAACTTGTCATCCAACCATGTACCTAGGTATTTGTAGGATGACACTTTTTCAATGGATAAGCCACCAGATGTGACAATGCTAACCTTCTCTGGCTGAGTGCTTGCTCTGGTAAAGGTCATGATTTTTGTTTTTGTACATTCAAGACCAGTTTGAGACCATAAAGGGAGACCTGCAGTGACTGAAAAGCAGTCTGAAGCTCTTCAATAGCCTGAACCAGAGAAGGAGCACATGAATATATGACTGTATCATCTGCATAAACAGTGGGGAGAACAAGTATTTGATACACTGCCGATTTTTCAGGTTTTCCTACTTACAAAGCATGTAGAGGTCTGTAATTTTTATCATAGGTACACTTCAACTGTGAGAGACGGAATCCAGAAAATCACATTGTATGATTTTTAAGTAATTAATTTGCATTTTATTGCATGACATAAGTATTTGATACATCAGAAAAGCAGAACATAATATTTGGTACATAAACCTTTGTTTGCAATTACAGAGATCATACGTTTCCTGTAGGTCTTGACCAGGTTTGCACACACTGCAGCAGGGATTTTGGCCCACTCCTCCATACAGACCATCTCCAGATCCTTCAGGTTTCGGGGCTGTCGCTGGGCAATACAGACTTTCAGCTCCCTCCAAAGATTTTCTATTGAGTTCAGGTCTGGAGACTGGCTAGGCCACTCCAGGACCTTGAGATGCTTCTTACGGAGCCACTCCTTAGTTGCCCTGGCTGTGTGTTTCGGGTCGTTGTCATGCTGGAAGACCCAGCCACAACCCATCTTCAATGCTCTTACTGAGGGAAAGAGGTTGTTGGCCAAGATCTCGCGATACATGGCTCCATCCATCCTCCCCTCAATACGGTGCAGTCGTCCTGTCCCCTTTGCAGAAAAGCATCCCCAAAGAATGATGTTTCCACCTCCATGCTTCCCGGTTGGGATGGTGTTCTTGGGGTTGTACTCATCCTTCTTCTTCCTCCAAACACGGCGAGTGGAGTTTAGACCAAAAAGCTATATTTTTGTCTCATCAGACCACATGACCTTCTCCCATTCCTCCTCTGGATCATCCAGATGGTCATTGGCAAACTTCAGACGGGCCTGGACATGCGCTGGCTTGAGCAGGGGGACCTTGCGTGCGCTGCAGGATTTTAATCCATGACGGCGTAGTGTGTTACTAATGGTTTTCTTTGAGACTGTGGTCCCAGCTCTCTTCAGGTCATTGACCAGGTCCTGCCGTGTATTTCTGGGCTGATCCCTCACCTTCCTCATGATTATTGATGCCCCACGAGGTGAGATCTTGCATGGAGCCCCAGACCAAGGGTGATTGACCGTCATCTTGAACTTCTTCCATTTTCTAATAATTGCGCCAACAGTTGTTGCCTTCCCACCAAGCTGCTTGCCTATTGTCCTGTAGCCCATCCCAGCCTTGTGCAGGTCTACAATGTTATCCCTGATGTCCTTACACAGCTCTCTGGTCTTGGCCATTGTGGAGAGGTTGGAGTCTGTTTGATTGAGTGTTTGGACAGGTGTCTTTTATAGAGGTAACGAGTTCAAACAGGTGCAGTTAATACAGGTAATGAGTGGAGAAGAGGAGGGCTTCTTAAACAAAAACTAACAGGTCTGTGAGAGCCGGAATTCTTACTGGTTGGTAGGTGATCAAATACTTATGTCATGCAATAAAATGCAAATGAATTACTTAAAAATCATACAATGTGATTTTCTGGATTTTTGTTTTAGATTCCATCTCTCACAGTTGAAGTGTACCTATGATAACAATTACAGACCTCTACATGCTTTGTAAGTAGGAAAACCTGCAAAATCGACAGTGTATCAAATACTTGTTCTCCCCACTGTAGATGCAACTTTGCTGGTTGCATCCCATTTCCCAAATCATTAATACAAATTGAGAACAACACAGGAGCTAAAATGGAACCCTGGGGCACACCTCTATTAATCGCAAGAAAGCTAGACTTGTGATTGTCAGCATATACACATTGTGTTCTGTCAGAAAGATAGTTCCTAAACCAACTTACTGCCCCTTCACTGAGACCAATGTTACTGAGTCTAGCTAGCAACAATTCATGGTCAACTGAATCAAATACCGTTGATAAATCAACAAACAGAGCAGCACAATGTTGCTTTTTATCAAGTGCATGTATGATGTCATTTGCCACTGCCATAGCTGCAGTTGTGGTGATGTGCCCCGATCTAAAGCCAGACTGAACCCCGCTCAGTATGTTCTTTTCAATTAAGACGTTTGTTAACTGTGAGTTCACTAGGGACTCAGACTTTGGCCAGGATAGGGAGTCTGGCGATAGGATGATAGTTCATAGCATCTGAGGGATCTCCACCCTTTAGCAGTGGGAGGACATACGCTGATTTCCAAATGCTGGGTATAGAATTGGTCAAGAGACTCAAGTTGAAAATGTGAAGCTACAGGTTCAGTAATAATACCAGCTGCTATCTTTAAGAGGGATCCAGGTTGTCTGGACCTGCAGACTTTTTAGTGTCTATTGCCTTTAGTGCTTTATAGTCCTCAGCATAAGAAACAGGCTCAAAGTTAAAATGGTTCACATGAGGGCCTATATCATAGTTTACTGTAACAGAGCTTACATTAGACGCCTGGGCCCCACCATTATCAAAAACTGAACCAGCAGAACACACATGAACACACACTGTCAACAGTCATGCACCGTACCAGCAGTGTGTGTGTGTGTGTGTGTGTGTGTGTGTGTGTGTGTGTGTGTGTGTGTGTGTGTGTGTGTGTGTGTGGATGGCAGGCTAGATGGCCAGCTGTTGGAAAGTTACCATTTCCTTTTCCTGTTAGAGAGATTTTGTCTCCCTCTGTCTGTTTCCACAGTTCCTAGGCTGTCACACAACTATCACAACACTGTAGCATAACCCTCGATTACAATCCACAAACAGGAAAAATAGTGTTCATCTGTTATGTTGAGGAATGAGCTTTCACTGTCTGTTTCTACACTGCTAGCCACTCTAGACTTCAGGCTCACATTCAGGAAGGTTAAACCTCCTGACTTGTATTATTACTCTGCCTGTCAGAAAGGCATGGCTGTTCTATGCAATATATTTACAGTATATGCTGGACACAGCCCAGGTCTCAGGGAATATGATGTCACAGCAACTGGAAACTCCACACACACCCTCCTCACTTCCACACCCCCCCTCCCCTCCCCCTCTCCTCCCCCCTCTCCTCCCCCCTCCAGACTCACCCAGGCCGTTGAGTGTTCCGATGTGTGTTGTCATAAACGTAGAGATGCTTTTATTGGCTAGTGAGTCCGCCATGCTGCTGAGAGCCGACGCCCCCGCGGCTGTACCAATCAGGTACTCCAGGATCAGGTTCCAGCCAATGAAGAAGGCCACACACTCCCCCACTGTCACGTAGCTGTAGGTGTAGGCCGAGCCCGTTGTCTTGGGAACGCGCACCCCAAATTCAGCATAACACACTCCTGAAGGGGAGACACACAAATATCATGTAGCTGTAGATGTGTGTGTGTGTGTGTGTGTAAGTGTGTGTGTGTGTGTGTGTTCTTACCTGACAGTATAGAGGCGACAGCAGCGATGATGAAGGAGACGATGACGCCAGGTCCGGCCATCTCCTTAGCAACCAGCCCGGAGACCACGTACATCCCCGTGCCAACGCAGCTGCCCACCCCTAGTGACACCAGGTCTACCGTGGACAACACCCTCGCTAGTTTGGTGCCATGGCTGCTGGTACCACCTGTACACACACACTTACATTAGCATACAAACACACACCTTAACATAAAACCCACATGTTAACATAACGTACACACATATATTCACACATACTGTATACCCACACATATACCCCCCCTCCACACACACACACACATTACCACCTTCACTCACACCCCTAGAGACCCCCCTGTAAACACCTACCTGTCCCAGAGTCCAACATGCTCTCTACAGGTTTGGTCCTGAGGACTCTGGAGGTGAAGGAGTGCCATCCTGACCGCCACTGGACACGCTGCAGCTTACCACGCAGACCTGACATACTGAGGTCACAGGTCAGGGGTTAGAGGTCAAGAGAGGGCTTGAGCTTTTTTCTAAAAAAAAATCCTCTGACGTTCACTTCCTCCTCTCTGGAAAAGAACGTTTCTCCTTGTCCAGATGGGTTGAGTGGGAGAGAGGATGGGAGGATGGGAGGAAGAAAAGTGTGTTCTCTCTTCTTTCTGTCTTTCTCTCTCTGGTAGTCAGGTGAGGGGGGTGTCAGCAGTTCCTCATGCTGATATAGACGTGTGTTGTCTGTTGTCTCAGGTGTCAATCTGTAACAGAAAACACCATGTTTTTACACATACAGTACAGTACAGCTGACAATATATGACTCCATGTCTGTGTCGTGTCCACAGCTGTTTGACAGTTACAGTCACATTGGGGAAGATATGGCAGGTTATCCATCCTTTATTGTAAACACACACACATACAGACACATTTAGTTTCTACCTGAACACAGAGAACTAATTATCAGCTGGTCCCTGTAGACCTGTTGTTATAGCAACCATCTCATTACACCACGTCATAGATGACAGTTCATATCCGTGTGTGTGTGTGTGTGTGTGTGTGCATGTGTGTATGTTCCAGATGACTGTGTTGTGTTGTAACGTCTTGTGAGTCATCATCACTTCCTGATTAGATCTGACCTGAGATGAACTCAGAGCTGATGGACTGTGAGGACTCAACTCCTATCCTCCACTCCCCCCAATCTGACAGTACACATTGTTCTGTTACAGGCCCACACAAGCACACACAATATAATTACAGCCATAGACAAAGAATTACATGGTATACGTCCCAAATGGCACGCTATTCCCGATATTACTGGTCAAAAGTAGTGCCCTATAAAGGGAATAGGGCGCTATTTGAAACACAATCATGGTCTTCGATCAACAAATCCCCTGTACTCTGCCCAATCAGTCAACTACTGCACTCATAGAAGATGATTGAATAAAACCATTTGGTCTAAAGTGAATAAGAGTTAATACACAGTCAGTATGTAAGGCCCAGGTAGGAAAATAACCTGCTATGATTACTGCTATTACTGCCAAGCTCTTTCCCTCTCTCAATTATCTTTCTTTCTTTCTCTCTGTTTCTTTCTCGATTATTCCCCCTCTGGCTGCACTCAGGAAGAGGGGGAGAAATCATTTGTGTAAAGTGGGCCAACAAACCTCTCAATCATCGAACACACACACACACACACTACACACACGCCTCTCAGCCATCAACCACTTAAACGAGGCCTGCAATTACCCAGCTGTTTCACCACAGTGGTTGTATGTGTGTGTGTGTGTGTGTGTGTGTGTGTGTGTGTGTGTGTGTGTGTGTGTGTGTTTCAGTTTAACCACAAAGCAAGGCACAATACAGGAGAGTGGTGGGCATGGCAGCTATTGTCCCTGCAGAGTGTAAATAATAGAACATAAAAGACGATGATGGAGGGATGATGATGGAGGGATGATGATGGAGGGATGATGATGGAGGGATGATTGAGGGATGATGATGGAGGGATGATGATGGAGAGATGATGATGGAGGGGTGATGATGGAGAGATGATGATGGAGGGGTGATGATGGAGGGATGATGATGAGGGATGATGATGGAGATATTAATGATAGATGGATGATATGGAGGTATGTGATGGAAGGATGATATGGAGGGTGATTATGAGGGGTGATGATGGCATCTTTGCTGTGCGGATTGATGAGGCTGCTGCTGGCGGGGTGCTGCTGGCGGGCTGATGCTGGAGCCTGATTGGCCGGCTGATGCTGCGGGCTGCTGTGGCGGTTGCTGATGGCGGGGTGCTGCTGGCGCGGTGCTGCTGGCGGGTGTGATGGCGGGCTCTGCTGGCCGGGTGCTGCTGGGGGTGCTGCCGGGGCTGCTGATGGAGGGATGATATGGGAGGTATGATGAGAGTGATGATGGAAGGATTAGCAGCAGACTGATAAAACAGCTCATCTGTTTCCATCAGACACAGTATTGATCTCACACACAATGCAATATGATCTGTCCTCCCTAACTAGAGGAATAGGAGTAAACACACCATTACAATGTCCAGCCGTCCTCTGTCTGTCTGTCCGTCTGTCCGTCCATCTGCCTGTCTCTGCCTTCCTGTTTGCATGCCTGTCCGACGGTCTGTCTGTCTGTCCCTCCGTCCGTCCATCTGTTTGTCTGTCAATCCATCTGTCTGTTTTCTGGCTTCCTAATCATCCACCATAATAATCAATGTTCGTTATCCAATCAGCCAATCAATGAGAATGATTTATTGTTGTAAGACAGTGCTTAGCTGTGTGTTCCAGCCAACATTCTGTCTGATTTACAGAATGTACAGTACATCCTGATTCAGCTTCTGGAACTCAGTACCTTAATAAAGCTAAGAGCCTCATTTAGTCCAATCTGGCAACCGATTCATTCCAACCTGGCAACCGATTCAGTCCAACCTGGCAACCGATTCAGTCCAATCTGGCAACCAGCAATGTTCTGATATGGCAACCACTGTTTTTCTGAGTAGGTCACAGACAGAGAAAAGCTAAGTCATCATTTAGATTATGACCTGACTCAGGAGAAATGTTCTCTCTCTCTTCCTTTCTTTCAGTCTCTCTATCTTTCTCTCTCCAGTGCTGAGTTCAAGGGTGTAGTGAGAGTGTGAAAGACAGCTGGAAAGCAGCCTTCCATCTCTCTCTTTTTATATCTTTGTCCAACCCTCTCCCTATCCATTTCAATTGATCTCTCCCACTCTCTCTCTCTCTCTCTCTCTCTCTCTCTCTCTCTCTCTCTCTCTCTCTCCTCTCTCTCTCTCCTCTCTCTCTCTCTCTCTCTCTCTCTCTCTCTCTCTCTCTCTCTCTCTCTCTCTCTCTCTCTCTCTCTCTCTCTCTCTCTCTCCCTCTATATCTGTGTTCCTTTGGATGACCTTGTATCTGATCACTATGGTAACCATTTTGCCAAACTGTGACACATATCTAAAAGGATTAGTAACCACACCAATACGCTATACATATCACTAGAGCCCAGAGTTTATCCCGACCATGTGGCCTGATCTGGTAAAACTCTAGTCTTCCTCTCCTCTCCCCAGTAAAAAGGATGAGATGAAAGATGAGGAGGAGAGTCATTCTATTAAACTACAGTTATAGTCTACCTATTCATTTCCTTTCATTAGACATGCAATAAGATCACAGAGATAACATTACAATAGGAACAAACACCTCCCACACCTGTCCCTCAAGGCCACCCAACCCCCCCTCTCTCTCTCTATCTCTCTTTCTCTCTATATATCTACGTGTCCTGTAGTCTGGTAGGAGGGGGTGTGCTGCTGATGACGGAGATGCAGATGGCTCTGTGATGGTGTGTGTGTGTGTGTGTGTGTGTGTGTGTGTGTGTGTGTGTGTGTGTGTGTGTGTGGAGGTTTGTGGAGGTGATTGTATTAGCTTTTATGCACAGACAGGCTCTGTGACGTCAGTGAGGCTATCTCCCATTCACAAACCAAATCAGGTTGTGTGTTCTTGTGAGATGGTGAGTCACACATGCAGTAGAACAAGGGTTATGACATCATCTACACACACACACACACACACACACACACACACACACACACACACACCAATCTATCAAGCAATCAAGCAAAGGGCACTTTGCACAAACAAACATTTATACAAAAACACACAGTATAAGGGAAAACACACACACACACACACAAACACACACACACACACACACACACACACACACACACAGCTGCAACCTGTGACTCTGTGATGTTTCATCATTACGCATTACACACACACACAAAACACACCTGTTGGCAGAATGATTGATCTAAATCAATTTCAAACAAGCTTATAGGGAGCAGTCGATGTAACTCACCATGACAGGAGGTGAATTATTGAGCTGGTATCCCCATCAGGGTTAAAAACATCTTGTGATCTTCCTTGGCATGAATGGAATGTAGCCAAACTAATACAACATAACAGACATGACTATTATCAAGAATTGATCAACACTATATTGATATTATAAACTGGTTACCAACGTAATTAGAGCAGTAAAAATACATGTTTTATCATACATGGCTGTCAACCAATCAGCATTCAGGGTTTGAACCACCCAGTTTATAATCCCTGTTAATGACTGCTGCTTTCAGCACCATGGCCAGCACCACACAGATGGAGGGAGAGAGGGAGAGAGGGAGATGTAAAGGAGTGGGAGAGCAGAGAGAGGAGAGAGTGGGTGAGGAAGAGAGTTAGAGTAAGAAAGGGAGGAATGGGAGGAATGGGTGATGGAGAGAGCGAGAGAGAGAGAGAGAACTCTCATGCCATGTCATTAGAGATTAGTTTGTTCTCAGGCTCCAGGCTTTCTGGCACACAGACCTGTCTCAACATCTCAGTGTGTGTGTGTGTGTGTGTGTGTGTGTGTGTGTGTTTAAACCTCAGCCCTAAATAATTGAAATCAATGTTTCCAGCTTTTGGCTTCTCAGACAGAGAGAGAGGAATGTGTGTGAAGGCTCTGCTCGCAATACTGCAGTTACAGATCTCTCTTTGATCCCTCTCTCTCTCACACTCTCTCTCTCGCCGACATGATGCTACAAACCGGATGATAAGCATCCATTTCGTACGGTCTCTCTCTCACACACACACACACACACACACACAGCAGACGGTAGCCTTATATATATATAGATGTCCTTCTATGATAAAATAGCGATCAGATGAGATTTAGCCTCCTACGTGATGATATCAGGCAGATCTCAACATTTACCCTAGCTGTTGATAAACAAATACCTTTACGTCGGGTAATGTAATAACGAAATCGTATCTTCCTCCTCTCTTCTGGTGTCTACTGCAGCTACAACGGGGATGCGAGTTCCCACCCCAAACACATACACACGCACACACACGCACACACCCGGCAAGTGTAACTCAAGAAGGAAGCATTTTATCATCAAACAATACCGCGATCAACAGCAGGACACACATACACACCGAGGGTCGAATACGCCATTTTCACACACACATAAACAATGACGACACAGACAGAGTGAGTGAGAGTGGGACAGCGATGGAGAGAAAGGATGAGAGAGAGAGAAACAAATTCACTTACGCATTCTACCGTGACCCTGGCGGATTAGAGGATGCTCGCTCTCCCCCGGAAAGGCTCGAGCTCCATGTCGGTTGCTGCTGCAGTCTCTCTCTCTCTCTACTCTCTCGCTGGCTCGCCCTTTCTCGCTCTCTCTGCCTCTCTCTCTCCTCTCTCTCTTTTCTCTCTATCTCGACCCTCTCTCTCTTCTCCTTCTCTCTCTTCAGCAGCAGCAGCATCTCGCGCATCAGCGGGCGGAGGGAGGCGAGAGCCTTCTTAAATCATTCAGAAGCCTGCTTACACCACGTGACCAGTAATATATTATTTAGTTATCCACCCCCCCTCCCGCAGCCGAATGGCACGTCGTGACGTCCCTTTAGTTCTCTGAAGCGGGTCCCGGTTCCTCCGCCCGTCCCGTTCAATAGCCTATAAAGTGAGAGAGGCATAGGCTAGCTATATCATTTCGAAGAGCTCTTGTTTAGGGTACTCTAGATATCATTAACCAAATGTATATTATCCTATTGCAGGCCTATGTAGCCTGCTATGCTGTAAACTATCCTATTTTACAATTCATTAGGTAGGCCTACTGGAAAATAGCCCTGATCTGTGGGCTATCTTCATTTTGTTCCTGTTTAGCTGATTTTAAGTGGTCTAGATAGCTTGCAAGGTAGATAGATGATCTATCTATCAGTGGAGGCTGGTGGGAGGAGCTATAGGAGGACGGGCTCATTGTAATGGCTGGAATGGAATTAATGGAACGGAGTCAAACATGTAGTTTCATATGTTTGATGTGTTTGATACGGTTCCATTAATTCCATTCCAGCCATTACAATAAGCCCGTCCTCCTATAGCTCCTGCCACCAGCCTCCACTGCTATCTATAGCCTCTAGATGATTTCAAACAATGTTTATGTTTATTTGTTCTGTCTGGTCGGGTAACATTTACCCATTATTGCCATATAATAGGCCTATTATATGAACTAATGTCGTTTTTTCCCACACTTTCTGCTTGAGGCCCTACCATTTGGCAGGTAATTGCTCTGGCTGCACAAGGAGATCGATGCGTGGGGAAATGACCTGTTGTAGCTGCAGCAACAAGTTCCAACAACCATCACTCCTAGTATAAAAAGTTACCCGGTATTCAGCAGTGACATTTCCACCAAATAATCTGTGTAAGTACCCCACTACAATTGACATCAGTCTAGAGGGTTTTATACTAAGCACTGTAATACAGATAGCAGAGACAAGATGGTTATAAGGAGCCTAGGCTAGAGTCAGGGTTAGCTAGCTAGGCCACAAGGCCTGTGACCTACTGCAACAGTTGAGATAGTCTTAGCAGTTTTTTTGGTATTTTTTTATATGATGAATATGATCTATATTTTATGGTCAGTTCACAACTCCTGGCACTAGTAATAATGATATACTGTCTTTTAGTGTCATATACAGGGGCATAGGAGCCGGGGGTAACATGTAGAATACACAAGGTGCAATTTCCAAACTTGGTTGTGCATCTGCAGTTTTCTACTTGTTATATGGCACTCACTGACAGTAAAACTGCAACAAAAAAAGTTCTGTAAAGCAAACGTGTGGCTCTGCTCGCATGTGTGGGTATGGATGTTGGTAGGCAGACCCGAGAGCCGCTGCGGCCCCCACCCACATCAAAGTTGCCCTTCCCTGGTCTAGAGGGTGTACTGTATGTCTTAACTTCATGCAGGAGAGAGGCAGCCATGATGATACCCACGGACAGACAGTCAGAGAGAGAGAGAGTGAGAGAGAGAGAGAGGCCACAAACAAACAGGTAAGATAGTGAGAAATGCCTCTCCAAGCTCTTAGAGTTCATACACTGATAATCTGTCATAGTGTGAATCTGAATTATCATCTGATCCCTGATGAAATGACAGCAGCTTAAGTCTAGAGGGTGTATTGCATGTGTTAACTTCAGGCAGGAGACAGGCAGCCATGATGATATTTTATTTTGGATAATAAGTGGAGATTCATGCCTTTATTATTATTTTTTTTATTATTTAAATGTTTTTAACTGTGCATGTTGCTGGTTATTATTACAGTATAATAACTGTATTATAAATTGAAAATATGACGTTAAGTGTCAAACCATACAGTATGTACAGCAGCAGTAGTAACAACCTGACATAAGGGAAGTGAGAAAAATACCAGGAAATGAATCATACAGTAGCAGAGAAAGAGTACAAAATAGTTGTTTCATTGAATATCTCCACATTAACAGTCAGACTGGTATTCAGTACAGTATGAATGGCCATGGCCCCAAGATGGGTTGGATTGTACCAGAGTAAGTGCCTCTCTGCAAGGTCACCCTTAGCCTTGTAAATTTGCCCATTTAGTTCATATTTGTCTGTATCCTTTTCTCAAAAGTCACTAGAAACGAGCATTTAAATCCTTAAAAAAAAAAATGAAATAGCAGAGATGTGCCCCGGACCCCTGTAGCAAAATGTGCCCCCCCCCTCCCCAATGTCAGAGTCGCTCATACGCCCCTGGTCATATAGCTGTGGACCTAATTCTGGTGGCCTCCCCCCAGGACAGTGAAACTACCCATCCATTTTTAAACCCTACTGTTATGAAATATTCAGCAGCCATGTTATTGGCCATAGATACAGTATGTATCCATGTGACCCCATATACTGTGTGTGTGTGTGTGTGTGTGTGTGTGTGTGTGTGTGTGTGTGTGTGTGTGTGTGTGTGTGTGTGTGTGTGTGTGTGTGTGTGTGTGTGTGTGTGAGATGAATCACTCAGAGAGAAGGGCAAGGTCAGACTTCCGTGCCTACTACCCAGAATCCCACGCTGCAGAGCGATGAAGTCACACAACAGAGGGGTGAGCGTGACCCCTGCTTCACAGAGACACACACACACACACACACACACACACACACACACACACAGAGCAGATTTACTCCCTATCACAACTCACTTCCATTAGAATCTCATCTCCTCTGTCTTTGTCAGATAACATGTGGGAATATTAAATATTCACAATCTCCTAAATGCCTCAAGACTTGTGTTAGCTCCCAGGACTAAGATCTTGTGTTAGCTCCCAGGACTAAGATCTTGTGTTAGCTGCCAGGACTAAGATCTTGTGTTAGCTGCCAGGACTAAGATATTGTGTTAGCTCCCAGAACTAAGATATTTGTAAGCTCCCAGGACCAAGATCTTGTGTTAGCTCCCAGGACCAAGATCTTGTGTTAGCTCCCAGGACTAAGATCTTGTTAGCTCCCAGGACTAACATCTTGTGTTATCTCCCAGGACTAAGATCTTGTGTTAGCTCCCAGGTCTAAGATCTTGTGTTAGCTCTTGTTTTACCTCCCAGGACTAAGATCTTGTGGCGTGCAAACAGGGGCAGACTTAGTAATTTGGAGGCCCCAGGCAGAGGTCAGTCTTCAAAAAGTAGGTTGCCTTCACATGTTCATCCAAAATAATTCCAGCATCCGAACAGGTCACTGTGCACCTGCCAACTTTCCTTCAATTCGCAAGTGTCTGAAACTATCTCACCGGAGAAAGCATCCGAGCGAGCGAAACAGCGCCCCTCTATCTTACTATATGTAGCCCATGTATCTGATGCTGTCTGACCAAAAATAGTATGACATGCCATGGGCTACACATGCATATCAGCAGCACACTGTCTTTTTACTAAAGAAATGTGTTAACTTGTGTAATTTCTCTGTTAAAATTCTATCTTCTTTCTTTCTTATCTCTGTCCCGCTCTGAAAGCACCTCATTGCTGCAGCTTCATTTCAATGAAAGCCACGTTTGCAATCATATTGCGTGAAACAATGCACAGGAACCCCCCTTTGCCTTCAGAACAGCCTCAATTCGTCAGGGCATGGACTCTACAAGGTGTCGAAAAGCGTTCCACAGGGATGCTGGCCCATGTTGACTCCAATGCTTCCCACAGTTGTGTCAAGTTGGCTGGATGTTCCTTTGGGCAGTGGACCATTCTTGATACACGGGAAACTGCATGAAAAACCCAGCAGCATTGCAGTTCTTGACACAAAGCGGTGTCCCTGGCACCTACTACCATACCCCGTTCAAATGCACTTAAATATTATCCACTCACCCTCTGAATGGCACACATACACAATCCATGTCTCAATGGTCTCAATACTTTAACCTGTCTCCTCCCCTTCATCTACACTGATTGAAGTGGATTTAAAAAGTGACATCAATAAGGGATCATAGCTTTCACCTGGATTCACCTGGTCAGTCTATGTCATGGAAAGAGCAGGTGTTCTTAATGTTTTGTATACTCAGTGTAGATGTATATATAAATATATATTAAATTATGCCCAGATCACGAGGCCCCTTGAGGATGTGAGGCCTGAGGCAATTGCCTCTTCTGCCTAATGCTAAGTCTGCAACTGTGTGCAGGAGACCCAGGCTTGAATCCTTCACACTACTCTTACCTGGGCTTAGTATAGAGAGAGAAGGGGAGAAAGAGAGAGAGAAGGAGAGGGAGAAAGGATGAAGGGAGGGTGGAAGAGAGGAAGTGTATAGAGAGGGAGTTTCTTTGAGGCGCAACGGGTCATCACAACCCATGATGCTCAGTGGCACTTTGAGGTGTTGCCCCCCTCTGATTATTATCTCATTAGCAGCTTCCACTGACAAACACAAACACACATACACAAACACACACAGCCACCATGTAGTGAATTAGCTTTCCTTTTGAATATATGAAATGGATTTATTGGAGTGGGCATTTAGCAGCACATAGAATACATTTTTTAGATGCATGCTAGAGTATATTAAGGCAGTATAGGCTAGTCTACATTTTCTGGAGTGCAATCATGTGTGTGTGTGTGTGTCTGCGTGTGTGTGTGTGTGTCTTGTGTGGTGTGG